CCCAGGCTGAGGACGTCACCAGCTTTGCTGGGTTTGTACAAAGCCTCAGGCAGGAGACACCAAGGGATGAATTAAAAATTGCCCCACATCACAGGGCAGGGATCTCCGCACGCTGCAATCATGCCACGAGTGGAGAGAGGGACAAGGCAGGGAACTGCTCCTCTTCCAGCCCACTCCTGAGCCTGTTCAAAGGCTTCAAACCACCCCAAGGGCTCCACGCAGCTTCAGGAAGCTGGAGAAGCCATCGTCCCTTTTCCCCACGGGCTCCTTGTGCCCAGGATGGAGAGGGCTGCTCCAGGCTGCCAGGGCTCTGCCATCGGGTACCTGCTGCAGGACAAGCTCCTCTTGAGGTTGCATCATCTTCTGAGTCCTCTCGGGCTCCTTCACGCTGCTCCCCGGTCGTGGGGGCTCCACGCGTGCCCTCGCCGGGTCGCTGCTCTCAGCCCCGGCTTCTGGGAGCGTCCCCTCGGCCTCCATGTCCTCCGAGGAGGGGATCTGCCGCAGACGGGGCTTCTCGCTGGATTTAGCCATGCGCTGCAGCCGGAGGGGTCACAAATGAGCACGGGGAGGTGGCACGGGACAGGCCAGGGCCAAGAAGGTGATGGGGGGTTCAGGACATCTCAGGGATGCGGGAGCAGGTACCCTCAGCTTGCTTCTACGAGTCTGGGCAAGGCAGCACCTTGCATGCCTGGCCACGGCTTGGCCCTGGTCATGGGTACTTGCTGCCCAGAAGGAAGAGTTGCCACCCTGAACCCTTCGAGCACCTGTTTCTTGTCGCCTCCTGCATGCCTGGGGCTGGGCACCCATGACTTACCTTGCCCAGATGCGTCTGCTGCTTGAGCCTCTCCAGGAACTGGGTGTGATGCTGCTGGTACACCAGCTGCTGCTGGATGGCCTTGGGGTTCTGGGGCAGGGGCTCCGAGCGGGTCCTGCCCAGCGGTTTATGGTGGCCTGGGAGCGACAGACGCTCTGCAGAGATGAGCGAAGGGGCGAAGGAGAAGGGGACCGTTCCCAGACCTGGCACTGGAGGGGAGAGGAAGGAGAGGTGAGGGGTGGCATTGCCTGCTGGACAGATGCATGGCAAGCAGCAGTGCTGTCTGCACCCATGCAGCCCTAAAAATGACAGTGGCTCAGCCCTGGAGCCCAGTATCTGGTGGACTATGGATGGGCTGTGCCTTTATGGCTCCTCTCCTTCTGCCCCCATCGCTTCGGCATCACACACCCCACGGGGGTATGGGAATGGGGTCTAGCTGACCTCAATCACCTCAGTCCCCCCTCAGCTTCATCCTCAATGGATGAAACTTCCTTCACTGCAGGTATCCCAGGGCAGGGAGAGATGGAGTCAGGAACCAGCACGAAGGAGCCGGTTCTCTTTCTGCTACAGCCAGAGCAGGTTACCTAGATGGGCTGGGGGGGGAAAAGGCAGCTCGAGGCACAGCCAGGAGGTCTGAGCTGCTCTGCTCACTGCAGGGTCTGCAGGGAAATCTGCTGGCACAAGAGCCTAGGAAGAGGCAGGAAAGACCCCTTGGAGGGGGGCTCCTAGGCTGTAGGAAGGACATTCCCTTGGCCTCAGCTCATGGAAAAGTAATGGAAAAATCAAGGCCACTGGGCTTTCCCAGCGCCCAGAAACCTGCCTGCCCCGAGAGAAGCTCCACGCCGACCCCTGCCAGGGCTGGCACAGCCTCAGCGCCTCTCACCGAGCTCGACACTCACCAGCCACCAGCGGAGTGTGGGTGACCGAGGGCTCCAGGATGATGACGGGCTGGAGCCGAGGGGATAAGGGGCTCCCGGCCTCGTGCAAGCTGGCTGGTATGAACATGGGCGAGTGCGTGCCCGCGAGGACAGGTCCGTTCAGCACGGGCACCCGGTGTGCCAGGCTGGAGAGGGGGCGGCGATCGGCATCTCCCTGCGGAGAGGAGGAGGACGGTGTTAGCGACCCGCTGGGACACAGCACGGGGAGGGGATGGCACGTCCTCACCGTGCCAGCACCCGCCTGGCGCTACCCCAGGAACCCCAGGCCCAAAGGAAAAGGCTTCCCCTGCCCCGTGGGGGACCCTCTGCCCAGTTCTGGGGCTACCTACAACCTGGCTACCTACCCTGGCGCTAGTGGTAGCCGGCAATCCCAGCGTGATGGCCGGAAGGGAGGCTGCGCTCTGCAGGGCAAACTGGGCCAGTGAGCTCTCCTGCATCATCAGGCGCTGGGCCAGGGGCGTCTGCACCAAACACAACTCATTAGTCTCCATGCTCCAGCACCGGCAGAGCTCGGCGTGGGCCAAGCAGCTCCGGCACGGGCAGCAGGAGAGGGTGGCTTGAGTCCTAACTGCTCGGGGGAACACCTGAGGCCAGGGTGAGGGGCACGGGGGACCCGTGGGGACAGCACATGCACACTAAGAGACAAGAAACGCACGCTGCGAAGGAGGGCAGCGTGCCAGGAGCAGCACTGGGTCGGGCAGAAGATCCCACCGTGCAGGGAGAACAGGGCTAAGGGCAGTTCCTGGGCATCGGGGTTCAGGGCTGGGGTCCCTGGGAGCGGATGCTACCTTCACCTGCGCCTGGGATGGGAGCGGGGGTACACGGTGCCCAACCCACGGGC